TTCACGTGAATTGCTTTTGTTTTGAAAAAGTTATTCACATTTATGTCACGTAAATAAAATTCCAAAAAGTTTTGTTATACACTGTATATGCTTGTATTGTTATTCTCAAAATACATTAACAACTATTATAATTTATTTATTTTATATATTATTTTATTATTTTATATAATGTTTACAAGAAGTCTATTTGACCTATTGATATAAAAACTTGTCTTCTTAATGGCAAAACTTTATCACCTATAGTAATTAAACAAATAGAACATTTACAGAAAATTTATTTATATAGTCATGAAGAAATGGTACTGGAAAATCAAGTTTCTTGTAATAAATATAAAAATAAAAATCATATTTTATATATTTGTAATTGAAAATATAAACAAAAACAAAAATAAAAAAAATTTAATATTTATTTTTAATTTTATAATATATGTATAATTTTATTACACACATATATATTTAATATACTGTATTATTTATTTATTTATTTTTTAAGAGCTAAGGTACAATATATGCAAGGATTTTATTATAGATCAACAGATTACAAATAACTATTATATGGACAGTCTAATTTAACTGATATCTTGTTCTTATTCTAACCCAAGTATTAATTTACATTATGAAGATGGTTTCATATCTGGGCATAGACTTCAAAGAGCTTTTTGTTTTTGTTTTTTGCTTGTTTAACTGTCACTAAGATCTCCTATCACTTTACTCTACAACCCACATACCAGATATTATGAAACTTATTTTTTTATACTTCCTAGTAAAAGCTTAAAAAGTTTGTTCCTATGATTGACACATACTATCAAATCTAAGAGTTATTCACCAAGTGGAGTACAACTTCTAAATCTCCTAGTAGATACTCTATAAATATCTTAGTTGGCTTTAGTTGCCAAATCTAGGGGCATGAATGTCAAACAGGACATAACTCCTGTAAAATGGTTACAAATCTTCAAGTATGCCTATAAAGTTTCAGTTCAATTTAAGTAATCATCTTCTAAGTTGATTAATGGAGTCAACAGGTTTTTCTTTTATAGTCTTGTGGATTATAGGAGAGGAAATGACTAATATAAAACTGGAAAATACATCAAATGTAATGTTGATTATCATAAACCAATCAGATGATCAATGCTTTATGATGTCTTAACTAAAGATCACAATATTAACATTTGCTAAATCAGCATATAGAACAGCTTCACATGAGATACAGCACTTAATAGGTTATGGTATCAAATACTATATGGGTACCCTTTAACTGTCTACATATAGAGTTGAACCAATATCTTGTGATCTAACTTGTAGAGCACTAACCATTGTGTTATGGATTTACAAGTCATTTAATATATTATTTATATTTAGTCTTTATTTACAATATATTTTAAAAATTAGATTTTTATATATAATTATTTTTAATTTAAGTTTTTTAATTTGTAATTATTTTTATTTTTTAGGTTCTTATATGTAAATTTCTTTAAAATTTATATATTGTATAGTATAAAAAATTTTGAAATATTATTTATATAATACAAACATATATAACTTTTTCAAAACAAAAACAATTCATATGAAATTTTAAATATGTAAATAACATATTTCAAACAATATATATAGGTTACTTAAAATTATTTAATTATTTTATATTTGTTACAAACTTATTTTTACAATGTTATCTTCTAAAAAAAATACTCAATGACAAACTATATTATATTTATGAAATAATGGAATTACTTCTACATATGAAATATATTCAAAACTGGCATAAACATGTCAACTATCTATTACAATCTCAAAAAATTGAATTCAAAAGACAATAATTCAAGAAAATATAGTAGTGGTCATTTTAAAAAGATTACTGTACATAAATTAAAAACAATTGATTAATATTTATGTCATAATCCAAGACTTTCCTCAAGAACTTTAGCAATTAAATTATTAAATATTAATATCAAAGTATTACATTCAACAATTTTAAGACATTTGGCCAATATGAGTTACAAAAATAATTTACCTTTAAAAATACCTATGCTTATTACTGCTTATAAAGAAGCTTGTGTTATTTGAGCAAAAAAACATCTTGATAATAACTGAAAAAAAAACATTATTTTCTAATGAAACAACATTTTAACTATTCAAAAATGCAATTACTTAATGGTATAAAGGTACAAGATCAATTAAAAGAATATTTAAAGATTGTACTAAAATCTTTGTATGAAAAGGATTTTGTAAAAAAGGAAAAACTTCTTTTTTTTGTTTTAAAGAAATTATGGATGCAAAATTTTATACCAATATTTTGCAAAATCATAAACAAGAAATTAATAGACTATTTGGAAACAATTGATACTTTTAACAAGATAATGATTCCAAGTATATAAGTAAAATTGCTAAAGTATTTTTAAATAAAAATTTTTTTGAAATTATTGATTAGTCTTCTAATAGTTCAGATTTAAATCCTATTGAAAACCTTTGGGCTATTACTAAAAGAAATGTAAAAATGAGATTAACAAAATATATTTTAGAATTAGAACAATTTATGATAGAAGAATGAGATAAAATTTCAAATAAGATTTTAAATAATTTTATAGATTCAATGAAAAAAAGATATGAATTAATAATTGAAAATAATGGAGAAAGAATTAATTATTAATTATATATTAATAAAATTTCTAGATTTTTAGTTTTATTTTGATATGTTTTTTATTAATTTTTATGCAATAGTTTTTAAGTAATAAATAAATAAATAATTCCAAAATTTTTTGCACCACACTGTATTTTATATATTATAAATATGATTTTGTTATAAAAGAATTCAAATTATATAATTTTAATAATATATAAATTTTTTTATATTATTTTATACAACTTTTGAAATCAAAATTGTTAATATTAGAATTTTTTGAAAAGTATAGTCAAACTTGAATATAACAAAATCTTTAAGTTAATTGGTAAAAATCAAAGAAAATTATTTAAAAATTTAATATAAAAAAATTTTTTATAATAAATTTTAAGTAAATTTAAAATTTAAAAATTCATTATAATTAATATTTTATTATAACTTTATTATAAACAAGTTTGTTATATCCAAGTTTAACTATATAGTGTTATATTTGATTTTTGTTTAAGATTTTCACTATTCCTTGTCTCATTTTATTAGCATTTATTTTTTAAATGTTGGCTATTTTAGAATAGTCTTGTATTATATATCTGTTATTGCACCTTTGATATCTATTTTACTTATTGCACCTTTACTATTTTTAAAATATTTCTATTTTATTTTATCTTTACTTATAGTTTTGAAAATTGGAATTGAATAGAATTGTAGTAAATTACATAAGGTTCAGAATACTATTAAAAATAATAATGGAGTATATTTCACCTATTAAATTTAATATAAACTTGAGAATCAAATACAGAATTGAAGAAAATCATTAGGATTTCTACCTTTACTTTTTATATTATCTTTGCCAAAATATTTATTTATATGAATGCTAATACAATTGAATATTCTGATGAAAATAGTATCTATATTTAGTTTATATTTTTACTATAGTATATATTTATTATATATGAAAATAATATAATTCAAATATATATATAATGTCTTTAATTTTGCCTAGGAATTGGCAGGCTTGAACTTATATTTTATTGAATAAATATCTTGACCTTTATAAACAAATTACCATTGACTCTTTTGTCTAACCTTATATATTTCAAAATTATACTAATTTGTATATTTTTAAAAACTTTAACATATTATATTGGTTCCATCCATATAAAATATCTTTCTATTATTAGTTCTTTGTCTTTATTGTTTTTTTTGAGATAGAAACAATATATAACAATAATAAAAAGTTATTTTAGTAAAAAGTTTTTACAATATTAATTTAACTTGAATATAATTATACAATTTAATTTGAAAATCATATTAAAATATAATTAATATTTCTTATTTTATTGAAGTTAATAGAGTTTAAATAAACTACTTAATATAACTAGCTTATTTAGATTAAAAACAAATTATATTACTTTTATAAAAATTTTATATATTAACAATATTTTAAAAAAATATATTATTAATTTATTTATTATAATTACTATTGTAAACTATTGCATACAATACCCTGAGTATTAATCATTTCATCAGAAAAATTATTTAGGGAAAAAAAGAAAAGTACTATTAAAAAAATCAAGAAAGGTACTATTCAAGGGAGTAAAGATGAATCCTTAAATTAAAGACAAGAACATAATTCAAATGTTTTTCACTATTAAAAAAGCTTTTTTAAAAATATAAGATCAAAAAAAAACTATCTACAGAGGTTTTTTACAATTTAAATCACTTGATCCAAGTGTTTTTTGAATTATGTCTTTATTACAGTAATAAATAAATAATTATGTTTCTTCAAAAGGAACATAATTGATCTGCAAAATTTTATATATTAAATAATTTAGGAACCCATTTTTACAAGAGGGGGTATTGTATGCAGTGAGTTTACAGTAATTTCTTTATCCAATATAAATATAATTATCCAAATATATTTACAGTCTAATATTATTTCTATCAAATATATTTTTTTCCAATATTGAATATGTATTTATAATTGTTCAGTATCATATAGCAGGATATATTGTTTTAAATTTTTTTTTCAATTTAGTTATTTGATTATTGTAAGCAAGCTAGCATTTAACTTATTATACTAATATGAATAATTCTTTTTGAAAATTTTCGGACCCTAAATTAAATATGTGTACAAATCATCCCCTAAATTCATATTATTTTTTATATATCGATGTGTTTATTCGTAAAAAGCAATATGCACATGTCACGTGATATAAAGCTTTAAAAAATTTATTTGTGCGGATAATTTCAATTATAACTCCAAATAATCAAGCGGTTTAATCACCAAATAAACTCTTAAAAAACTTCTATTCTAGAAAAGAAGAAGCGCAATAGTATTGATTGACTACATTTTACAGTAGATATATAGTATAACGTGACTATTATCCTCTCTGATTATGTTTTTTTTTGTGACGAAGGAGATTACTGTTTGTCGTGTAAATTTTTCCGCATTCTTCAACCTCACATCTATATTCTAAAACATGATTTTTCGTTAGTTTCTGTTATATCAAATGTATTAAATAAAAATTTATTTAGACCTACGTTTTTCCCTAGTATGAGAGTTTTTATGGGTTCTTAACGCGCTCGGAGACTGAAATGCTTTTTCGCAGAAAATGCACACATGTCGTTTTGTAGGACTAGAAGTTAAAACTTCAACTTGATAGGAGTTTAAGATTAAAGTTCCTATCGAGTCCATTAAGCTTATATCGGTTAAATGGCCAATTAGGACGGAGCAGTTTAGATCATTAATTTCATAAACTCCGCCTTGGTCGTCAATATAGAAGGTTTTTCCTAGACTATTGGTATAGTGTAATTTATAAATAATTTGATTACTCATGGTATAAGTGATTAAAAGAATAGAGAGTTAATTAATTATATCAGTTTATCTAAGAAAAATTGTGGTGCTCGTGTAGTTTTATAACATTTTTGATTTTTGTACAACATGGAATTTCGCGGGGAAACACGTGATAATAGTGGATGCGACGCAGGAAATTCTTCTACGTAGGAATTTCCTATCTCAATCGACACGTCTTTCTTGGTGCGTCGTTCTCCCTCCTAGAAGAAAATTAAATATTCATGAAAAAAAAAACAATTGAATTTAAATTATACTGTATATAGCTATTGTTTATAATTTAAAATTTATTTGTTATAGATGATATTTTTTATAAAAATAAAAAATCAAATGTATTTTTTTCTATTTTCAAAAATAACCAGTATATACCGTATAAGTCTTCAAGTAATCACATAAAAAGATGAAAATGTCAGAGCAACGAGTAAATGTCAAAGATATTCACAGTTTCTTTTGTAAATTTAATTTAATTTTTAAAAGTTATTGTCTATATCTAATACGTAGGAATAAAAAACATTTACAACAACAAATATTTTTTAGACTTTATTTAAAGAATGATTTAAACTTTTAAAAATTTCTTTAAAAAATTATACATAGTTTTCCTAATTATGCATGATATCTTGTTTTACATAATAGTTATTAAAAATTTATAATAAGTCGTAGTATTAGTAAAATACTAGAAGGCGGCAAAAAAAAAAAAATTCGGAATATTAAAGTAATATTGCTAACTTGTAAAGCAAAGGTTTTGTTCAATTATTAAATTCAAATTTATTTAAAGCTTTGTAAAATATTACAAATTATCTATCCGTTGCCAGATATCATGGTACGAGTAAGAATTTTGACTACCGTGAAATGAACGTCATTATTTTGGGTTATATCACGTTTACAGATAAGTTATAGTTAAACATTTTCGTGAACCAAAGTTTCTAAAATATTTAATTAAAGTAAAATTGTAATTATTAATTAATTAAGTTAGGCTATTGATTACGATTAAAATTTTATTTCGAAAATACCTAAAAAATCCGAAAAATCAAAATCAACTAAGCTTGAGTCTGTAAATTAAAAATTTATCAATTTAGGAAGCAATAAACGTTATACTATTGACATTATATTTACCTGCGTTGTTATCTGACAACATTTCAAGTACTTTTTCATAATTAGAAGCATTAGTTGGTTGGGATAAGTTAGAAAAATTCAAGAGTCTGCTAGTGTAAATAGCATTTGGGTGCGTTTTATAATTAAGTCCCGAGAAGTTATTTTCTTTCGAAACTTCACTTTCGTAATCTTTAACTTGTTCCTTAAAATCAGAAGGTTCATCACTTCTGATAAATTTGATACTGGTTGTTGCGTAATCCCATAACATTTAACAATATAACCATACCATACAATGGAATGTTTCTTAACCTAAAATTTAAAATAAATTACATTAATAATAAAACTATAGTTATACGAGGTTTAATATTCTTTACCTCATTTATAAGATCATCAACTGAGCTAAGCTTGTCTAAGCTTTTTAATGCTACAGTGCGTTCACCGAACCTACCCCATTTCTTATTGAGAACATCCCAAATAATAATATAACCATCTTGCCATTTTGCAGAATACACAGTGCCATATCCTCCTTTAGCGATATATTTGACATCTTGAAATTGTGTATACGGTATCCATTCTAATACCTCGTACTCATACCTAGCTTGAAGCTGAGACTTTTGTATAAATTCGTCAATTCTTTTGTTTCCACTTGTCCATTTATCAAAATCTTGTTGAAAGTGAATTCTATTACATAGTATGCACCATTGGTATACTGAAATTCTTTGATTACATTCAGGACAATAATTAAGCGATTGCATATTTGATTTCCGTAACTAGAATTCCTATTGAATATTATATGATTGTATACGTTACATGGACGCCAAAAATAAGATTTGTACAACTTTAATCTTGAGAGTATTTTTATTTATTATCGATTATCTTTCATGTTAGCTTGTTATTTATGATTAATACAGTACGTATATTGATTGCCCTAAAATCCAACATACCATATTAATTTTATAATTACAAAAAATTTGGTTAATATAAGTCGTTGAGACTTTGTAGGGATATTCGCCATAAGATATTATTTGTTGTCTTCGTATATGGGTGATTCCTTTTAAAACCAATAAAAATTTGAAATTTAAATGTTTAATAAGAGGTTATAACGTATGATATTTTGTTAACACACGTATAGAAAATAATTTACGGATTACTAATTTTTTGAAAAAAAAAAAAGAAAGTAATTATAAAAATAGGAATTGAAGGTGGAAACCAAAATTTACATTAAAAAGAATAAATAATTAATTAATCATGAAATTTCAAATCCGTTTACAGTATATCCATTATTGATGGTTTGGATTTTACTTTATACTGTATCTTATAGCATTAATGTAGATTTTATAAGAATTAAAAAAAAACTCCCCAAACAAATAATTTTTGTTTATTCATTTATTTATTTGATTTAATATTTTTTTAAAAATAATATTAATAAAAAATTGTTATTATGATGACAATAATTACAGTACAGTATCTACGTATACCATATGTATTAAGTTTATACCGTAGATCTCAACGAATATGGTAACCATGCGCAAACATGATTTGTACCGAGAAAAAGAAAAACGGAACGATATCAACGGCCGATATGGTTAATCGCTTGTTCTTGGCAATTACCTTTGACAAAGCCTATCCGCAAAGAAAGAAGAGGCTCATCGACATCCCAATTTCTAAGCAACAATTCGAAGCCAGTTTTTTGTTATACCGTGCTTGAACATAATCGTAATTTTTATTTGCAGTATAGTCATTTTGCTATTTCTATGTAAAAACCATTAATATAGTAATGTAATACCACATACTATACAGTATGCCGCACAGCATATGGTTAATTTTAGAAATTCTATGTACTGTACGTATAACGTCACCGCAGCCTACGCAATACATATCATTTATTATTATTATTATGTTTTTTTTGATTTTCTTACCATCCTTTAATTCTTGTACCATGGAAGAAAATTAGATTATAAAAAGAAGTTACCGGATATGGTCGAAGAGATTAATAATCCTAAAAGAGATTACAAATTTTATCTCATATGATACGCAAAATTAATAATTTCCCAATGTTATATTAATTTCTACAGTTGAATCAACAAATCTTGGACTTTTTCTTTATTCGGACTAAATCATTCGGTAGCGCTAATATTCGTGATTCCATTGGAGTAGGCGGAGAATTGATGTAATGGTTGTTTAAAATCGCGCGTGGTTGACACTAACGGGTTTAGCTTGATTTCACTTAAAAATTGTCATCGAGTTAAAGGGTAATTGGATAAACCTTCATCGACCATTTCGGTCACACTATGACATTAAAGACAAGTGAGGGAAATTCCGGGGTTTAAATATTTTGAGCTAAGCTTACGTACCAATCAATGACTTAACTTGATTTGAATAAATGCCAACGTGGGTTAACCTTCTTTCGATTAAATCGAAACCGAATCAGGTACCACGAGTGGCCAGTCTCACGTAATCATTCCAGAATTGCGGGAATTAAGGTTTCTAGAACCAATTGCTGACGATGCTGAAACATCAACACGTAAATTCTTGTTTTTCGGTAGTACGTCACTTCTTTCTCCATCCACGTGTCATCCTTCTGACCTCGGCGCAGCAGGGAAGATCTGCGGTGGTGCTCTACTCAACATGTCAATGGAATTGCACATCAATTACGTTACCATTACCAACGGACAAACCATATTTCCTTTGCGAGACGCGATGAATCAACTCTATCGGTTCGGTCAAATGTCTTAAGGCCGAAGAGCCTTAAACCTTTTTCTTCCGTAAATGAGAAACCAATAAAGAGTAGTACGGTTCACTTTCATGCCATCGTAGAATTAATTTATTGAGGCAACCCAAGAATTTTCCCACGATAGATTGAATGGCGAACCAACAAATCAGGTTTTTCTTTATTATTATCATTGTTTTAAAGAAGCTCCTCAAAAAGAATGTTTGAAAGTAATTCAAGTTACTCCTTCCTTCACTTATTCATTCATTCATTATCTAATGTCTTAGCAGGTACCGCGGCAGCAGCAGCAGCATTGACAATGCGGCAAGGTCATTTGATTTACATTGTTTTCTGATAGACAACGAAAGAGCCCATGTATTGCTCAGGCACAAATAAACATTTCAACGAACGTTTGTTCACACAAATTTACAAGAGCATTTATATATCTATTTACTGTATATATACACTGTATATATTTTACGCATTTCAGAATGTCTAGATGTTCTTTAAAAAAAAAAAAAATGATAATGAAGCACAAAAAATAAATTCAATTGCTTATGGTCAGTGCTCAAACCGACCTTGCAAAAGCATTTGACGAACATCTTCTCTTTAACATAAGTTTCCAAATCAAAATCATGGCCAATTTCTTTAGAACGCAAATCTTGTGATTAAAAAGAAAGAAAAAAAGGTGGGTGTAGACGCGACGCGGTGAAACCGGTTCAGACACGAGGGGTGATGCACTTTAAACATCTCAAATGTTATGGGTGGCTTTTGATCGGAAGGGCATTTCCAAACATCTCAAATGTTGGAAAGAACCTTGATAGGCTGTGCCTGTTAGGAGAAAATATTGTGTTCTTTTTTGGCAGTGGGTACGAGTGTGTACTATCTGATTCTTATGACATTCGTAAATTTTCACGTGACCAATTGAATGCGTAAAGTCTCGGAGATGCGAGAAATAAAAAGTCCTTTTTCTTTTACCGCAATATAATGGTTTAATTCAATACCGCGGAAATTGACATTATGTTATTTCGATCTTTGTGCGTTCGACAGTCACTACACGACGTTGAAATTGGGTGAATATGAGGTTGAAAATTTTAGTTAAAAGAACAATGTCAAGATTGATTGCATACCATGAATTCATGATGGCCAAGTCGGCCAGTTGCTCCAATGCACTTGAACGATAATGGTGCCTGATGGGTCTGGGAGACGATATTGGAGTGTAGGTCGGGGTCGGAATTGAATCGTCATTGGTACACGTGTGACAGGGTTGGTTCTGCTGTCGTTGGTACTTGTCACAGGAGCTCTCGAGATGCCGCCGGCTTTGATATTGTTGCGGGCTGCGATGGTGATTATGACATTCGTTGGCAAAGCGATTTTCCCGACGGTGTGAGTACTCATTATTAAAGTAGCTATCCTCTTGATGACGTTGGTGACGATCGTTGTCATGATGACACCGTCGGTTGGGGTAATATGGTTGACATTCTGGACAAGAAAATTCGTTTGGCTTGTTTCTATCTGGACTTGTTGCGGGGGTTCGTAAATCGTGCCACGAATTTATTTGTGCACGGTACATCTGTTCTTGGCGTATCCACAGTTCTACGGAATTTCCCGATGTGTTGGTGGTGGTACAATCTTCTTGTGTGGCAGATTTGAATTGCCTCTTTCGTTTGGAGATGAGTTCTAAAGAGGGATAGGACGTGCAAAGGAAAAAAAAGAAGTTGAGTTTGTTTGAATACAACATTTCCAAAAATGCGAGACAATGAAAATTTACCATATTTGGATCTGGGCACGTCCGGATTTGGACTATTTTCATGGTAAAACTTAATCCTTTTGGAGGGACTCGCGAAGGTGCAGGAATTCGAGTTTGAAAGTTCAGATGAAGGGAGAGCATTCAATTGTGACAATACCGGAGAATTTATCATCGATGATATCGGAGCGCCGGAACTAGAAATGGAAGGTGATGACGATCGCTCGTTTTCGCCGTCAATATTTTCAACCTGTGAGAAATCGCGCTTCTTTGACAAAGAGGAATAAAATCTGTTTTTTATTAGATTGGCAGGTCGGTTCAGCATTTGACTCATCACCGCCCACTTTGTGCCCATCTTAGAGTGGTATTCGATTATTTTCGAGTCTTCTTCGGCGGTGAGCGGACCATATTTCACTTGATTGTTTGAGAAGCATCGAAAGTTCATTATTTTTTGAAAGTGAAAAAAAGAAAGAAAAGGAGCTTGGATATACAATACTTACGGTCAGGGTTGAGGTGATTGTGCCATCTGTCAAATGAGAGGTCGTGAGAAACTGGTGTGAAAGGTTTTGATCAGAGAGAAATGAAAAAAATTTACCTTTCGCGACATTGCTTCCCATCCCTTAGGCCGTGCCTGATGCCGATCAATTTCCAATGTTTAACTCCTAACTCTGAGACAATTGCCAACAGTCTTTCGTCCTCCTAAAAGAATCAATTCGGTAAGTTTTTTTATAAGAGAAATGGAAAAAGGAGAAGAGATTGAAAAATGTATGCCAACATGAGGTTCCCAAGGACCAGTCCTGCGAGAAGAGTTTGCGGGTCGCGATAAACTTTGGACGAAAGAAGGATCATTTCTTCGGTCAAATGTGCCGACCGTGCTCATCGTCATTGGGGTGCAGAAGTTCATATTGTTTATGGACATCGTCTCAATTGGAGGAAGGTTCACGTCCAAAAATTTCAGAGATGGATCTTGTTGTGAGTAAGGTCGCCTGGTTCTTAGATTGTTAAGTGAGCTTTGTGTATGTGAAATGGAAGAAGTTTCTGGGTGGAGGGAGAAAAAATATATCTTCTTGATGCAAATAAAAAAAGTCTTTGTAAAGCAAAAATATAATTGAACCACGAAAGCGTAGAGTTGCTTGGAGAGCAGAGAAGAGAAACGAAAGTAGAAAAAATCTAAATCGTCAAAGAAGGGAAAAAAAAAAAGAATTGGCAAAAAGAATCTAGACGTCATTTAAAGACAGAAACTGTACGTGCAGTAGCAGGGCTCCAGGACGGGACGGGCCGATTGAAACGTGCGAAAACAGGGAACAGACAGAACCGTGAACAGAAAAGAGCTGTTGTCCGAATCGTAGGACCTTAACGAGATTTAGGTTGGTGGGCGGAGCTTTATTCAGTTAAGCTATTACACACTTTTAATTAAACTCGAAACAAAGAAATATTTACAGTATCCCGGATTATTATTATATTATTTATTTATCTTTGCTATTATTAACATTTTCATTATTATTATTTATTATATACATATATATACAGTGTATATACATATTGCAGTAAGATAAATTACAGGTTAACTTTTTTTATTATCATGTCAGGACCTTTTGTTTGCACGACCGATTCTATACAGGATACAGTAAAAAATAAACAGAAATGAACGAACTGCTGTCAAGAAATTTCCCAACCGGGGAGTTTTTCTTGTTCTTCTTATTGGAGTTTGCGGGCCGTGGTGGTGGTGGACAGATTGTTGATTACAGTATCAGTTATTGCGATAAGTGAATGCACGCATATTTTTTTTTTTTTTTCTAAAGGGGGCCCTTGATTCAGCGATTCAATGCAAAAAGGTAGTGGTGAATTGATGATTAGGAAGGGACCACCGTCCTTTCTCCAATTGATTGATCCATTGAATGATATTGTTGATTGAGCGACCGATAACTGTTCGTACAATTGCAATTGCTCGTACATATAACTGTTTGTTCATCCTATTGTAATAACTGTTCGCCTTCTTTATTAAGTCAACCTCTTTATTATTTAAGAAATTCTCATTGTAACTGCCATCTTCTTGATTCATTTACACGGCACTTTTCTCCTCCCTGCAGCACTCAATACATCAGTAAATCTCCTCACAACATTTATGGATTTCCAAAGAGAAATTCTCAATTGACCTCCTTTCATATAATCAATCTTTTTCTGAGTCTTCATGTATCTTTTTTTTTTTTTCAGTCGGTGTCTTTGTGATGCCGTTCAAATGTGGTTAGGTCAGGAAATCTATCTATTTTTTTTTTGACCAACCGGTTCTATAAATAAACTTTCTTATCATTTTTTTATTCCTCATTTGGGTTGCCTACCCTTTTTTTTTCTTTGATTTTCCCTTCTTCTCTTCGATTAGACACCTTTCTCTTTCAAATTAGCCCTCCCCACGTTTGCTCCGTAGAAATTAACTAAACATATTGTGTGTTTGGTTCGATTTTGATTTATTCATTTCGTAATGTGTGATGAAAATAGACATACACACACACATACATACATACATTCTATACATACATACACTTTTCACTATACACATAATAAAAAATAAACAAACGAACGAATCAAAGTGGCGATAACGATTGAGGGAAAAAAAGCAAGGGACGTTCATTTTCCACTATCTCAAAACTCTTCGGTGTCGATTTCAGAAGCGTTTGATGTTAATTTATGCCTGAATCCATTTTAAAAAAACGTTTTACGTCCATACTTGTTTATTTTTCTCGGCGTTTCTACGTGCGCAGGTGAGTGTGTGTAGTGCGCGCACGCACGTATTTTAGATCTTTCGATATAGTGCATGCCAGTTTGCATATGCTCGCACAAGATGCAACTAAAATAAAAAAGAAAGGCATTACGTCGTGCCTGCGCACACGTTATCATAGTGGACCAAGATATTGTTGATGGGGTGTTGATTGGAAGACATTCATTCAATTCTAAATCATTGTTGATGGTGGTAAGGATTTGCAATTGTTGTTAACAATGCAAAGTAAAATTATAATTGGCATTAATAAAGCACAAATTGGATTTGACGTATAGGAAAACATTTATGGTCGATTATGTTGATAGTTCATAGTGTAAAAAGATATTAACAAATGTAGCACGATCCCCAAATCGCCAATGGCTAATGAAAAAAAGAGTCTAAAACTATCAAAAAATCCTGCATAGGTGGCGCAGGGTAAGACGTAAGAGACAAATAATTCCCGTGCATAGTAATTTATTAGATAACCGACCTTCCTAAATCATCATCTCAAACCTGTATTAAAGAAGAAAAGAAAAAAAAAATAAACTAAGATCACTAAGGAATCTCTGTAATCATTCGTCAAGTTGATGATGGCTTAATAAAATATATAATAATAAAAAAAAAAGTTCATTTGCAAAAGCGCACCGACAAATTAATACAAAGACAAGTTCAACATTGTGAATTTTTTATTAGCAGATCGATGCGGTTTGGGGCGGAT